GTTGCCATATATACAACTTTAAATCTTACCCCATCCGATTACTGACATGGTTACAGGGAAATGTCCAGGCAGGGACTTCATGGCTCTAAGCAGCAATAAGTACAGGTGTGCAGAATTGAGTGCTGTCAACATAAATGTTGCCAAGAAAAAATAGCACAGTAGGATGGCTACAGCGGTACACCAGGAGTCTGTGGGAGGATCTACCACGTCAGATGTGAGTGACGTGCTACTGATGTTATCATAAGGAAGGTATTGCTGGTGATAGGTGGTAGTATCACTGCTGTGATTCCTGGCATTATGGTTTTCAATTCCAGAGATGATGTTGAAAATGAGCTTTAAGAGACAGAGACTCACTAACATCCATGTTACAGATGACTTTCGAGTTTTCCTGTTGGTAGGAATATATTTAGGAGAAAAAAGTAGAGCAAAATAAGAAAAACTGTAAAATACTTCCTCATTTCTATTTATACCAAAAACAAGCTAGAGAGTGCAGCCTTTAATACAGACAGAAACCAAAACAATAACTTTTTTTCAGAACCATGTCAGCATTACTTTCAGACAACTTACCAAATCCATCAGTTTTATCTGATTTCAACTTGAACAGAGAATACCCAGCAACTTTTAGGACTGGGCCTTGTCTAAAAGCAGTTTGGGATGCCTTTTCCTTTTTCCACTATGCTCTTTTTGGAATCCTTTTCTGCAGTGTTAAGAAGTGAAGTAGCATAAAACATGTATTTCCCAAACATTCTCCAAAGTGCAAAGAGAGTAACAAACCTCCACTTCCAAACTTCTTATCACAGAATCACAGAATCAGTTAGGTTGGAAAAGATCTCTGAAGTCATCAAGTCCAACCTATGACCCAACACCACCATGTCAACTAGACCATGGCACTGAGTGCCACGTCCAATCTTACCTGAATACCTCCAGGGACAGTGACTCCACCACCTCCCTGAGCATTATATATATAATTATATAATATAGGTATAATTATAATTTTATATTATATAATTATATATAATTCATATTATAGGTAATTAATTTTCTATATTATTTATAAATGTGTATTATTATTATAAATAAGTGCATTTAAAAGGCAGAGTCTGGAAATTCCTACAGTCTTGAAAACACTGACCTTGATGGAGTTGCTCAAATATACATTAGTACAAGTAGGACGAGAAACATGCATTCATTTATAATAACTACAGCTCTTGTTGGCATGACTTTGCTCCTTGTTCAAAGGGGAATCACGTGACACCATTAATCACAGGCACATCCATTAAGGAAATTTGCTGCAATCATATTTGTATGAAGTCACTCACAATAAAACAGTAGCACAAGCAGTTATTGGCTAGAAGAAAGATAATTGTTTAGAAATCGTAATACAAGGGTACAGGGGAGATCATGCTAGTGGTGGAATGCTGTTACACATTTTTAAAGCGTAGTGTTGAGTGAGACAGTGAACTGAAAAGCTCAAAGTGTATCCTCAAACTATTTACAGAACAATGTATTGTAACTGAGTGTAAAGTATTTGCAGTTTTACATCTTCCCTCTTACATAGTGAATATTTGAAACAAAATGGTAATAATCAGACCAGCCATAGACAAACCAAGAACAACATAAGAAATATACTCCAAAGGCTTTGCGTATTTATATTTGTTTTGAAAGGCCTAGAAAACCAATTGTATCAGTTATATCAGGTGAGAAAAATGTTTTAGTAAGGTTATGACTGTTTTTAGCCACTGCCAAAATTTTCAGATCACACAAAATTAGTCTGGACCTTCACAAGAGAAGCTTCTGAAGAACACCAAAAAGAGATTTAACTATGTAAATCAAATATTCAGCAAAATAGCAGATTAAATTATTCATAGAAAAATGCAAGGTGACACAGACTGAAAAAAGCAGCTTTAACTTTTCAAACTGGTGAGCATTCTGAATTTTCAGCTCTTGGTCTAAGGTAAGATGTTACAAAGAATTATGAATTAAAACCAGTCTTTGTTTATTGACAATAAAGCAGCAAGTAAATGGAAATGTATTCAGTGAAACAGAAAATACTCTTGTATTTGCATAAACAGATGGGAATCTTCTCTAGAATACAGTCACTTTGTGCCATAAGGACATGCATAAGATAAAGGGAAATACAGAAACAAGTAAATAGTACAAATATGGAAATGCTATTCTATGAAGACAGAGTAAAAAGAAACTCTGAAATCCTGGCCCTCCTGAAGTTAGTGACCACAGATATGTGATTTTATCCAGGGTGTGTTTTGTTTAGAGAAGCTGAAATAAATACTGAAAGAATAACAAACGTCAGACAGTCATTCCTAAATGAGGGGAATGTATAAAACTTTATGGTAGCAGGCTTAATATTTACAGAGCAATCGCTTTACATAAGCATATATGCAAAGGAAGTGGGTAATGCTAAATCCTTTCAGTTATTTACTCAGCACAAGGCAGTGCCACAGCTAGCCCAGATTCTAGGCTATTCTACTCTTTGTCTGGGGCCGCCTTAGCCTTTAGATATACCCTCACTTAACAATCAGCTGCAGCAATAGAGGTGCAGAGCCAGGAACTTGCCAATACATTTGGCTCTCCAGCAGCTTGGGCACAGCTTGCAGGTCCCAATTTACCAGATCTGCCACAGGTCAAAAACAAGTACATGGGGACATCTTAAACTCCTCTACCTTCTAGCCCAGTGGGCCTATCCCCCTATATATCAACATGCTGGTCTTAAAGTTAAAAACAACCAAACAAATGAAAAAAACCCAAAACATACTCTTCCCATTGAATAAAGGGCTATGTCCTACCATCATGACAGCAAAATTAGTCGTGTAATTACACCTGCATCTCAAGAACTGGTCTCTTCCTTTTGCACAGCTGGTGGTGTTCCAGTCATTGACAGAGTAGTCCCAAAAGACACAGGCATGATCACATAGCTGCAGATGTGATTGTACTATGTGTTGTACTATGGATTGGGATTGCAAGGAGAGAAAGTGGCTAAAGAAACATAAAGAGATAGGAACAAGCAAATAGCGTGTACTGACAATGGTTTGATTTTGAAAGGGGAGCTGACAGCTACTAAGAGATGTATGTGTTTCCAGTAAACCTTGTGAAAGACGTCAATAACAGTATAATTTTGCATTTTGAGCTTACTTTATGTGCCTTTCTTGGCCAAAATTGCCAGTGAAGTCATCCGTTTCCGTGAATTATTCAGGTAACCTGGATTCAGATTCCCACTGACTAAGCATTACCCAACTGCCAGTTGAATTCCACGTAAGTCGAACAACAGCAGCTTTCAGATAGCAGCAGCATTACATGACTGCCAACCGGAGCTGCATCCACACTGTAACAGGAAGAAGCAAACAATGATAAATGCTGTGAACTGCTCCTGCATCACAGTGGTGCTCATGCGGTCATACATCAAACACCACACAGACATTTTCAGACGACCTACTTCTTCGGGGTACTGCGATTAGAACTGCTTTTTAATGAGCAACAAGCAGCTTAAAGTGCAAACAAGAAGTGAACACAACTATTCACAGGATTAGGTAGTTCAATTAAAAATGAGGAATAAAAGTAGAAGTGAAAAAATTATTTATAAGCTTGTTTCAGTAGTTTCCTTAGAAATTACACGTTTCCTGTGTGGTTATACATATCCGTACTTAGCTGTATGTAACTATGTACATCCATACTTAACATACGGTGATGATTATGATCTGTCATATGGATGCATTTGAGCTTAAAAGCTTTGTTAAATATTGCAAGAAGAAGCCAGCTACTGTTTTCTGGAGAAACTGTGCCAAACATGAATACATATTATCTAAAAATTCAGGTTTTTTATTAAATGGATGCTCACATAGAGCATTTCCTGCAAGAAAGCAGCAACGTCTGGAATCAGTCCCTGGTGGAGGAAGTCAAAACAAAGCACACAATGGTTTTAACTGGAAGCAAGAGTTAAAAGATGGTATGAAAGATGAACACTCCCCACATTGGTAGGTGTATTGGGCCATGCCAGTCATGTTGAATTTTCTTGTTTCCCAAAGTTTTGGTAGTCTCCTGGAGAGAATAACTGTCCTCCAGGGACCTGTGGTTTTTTCATTCTTGATATAGCACTACTGTACCCTAGGACAAATGTGCTCTGGTGTACCTATAACTTTTTATGGAACACTGTTTTGCTTGCAAATGTCCTAGGTTAGCAGTACTGAGTTGGTAATATCAGCTGTTTAATACAGAAGTTGAAAAATGTTTTCTGTGCCACATTTTCTAAACACCCTTCATTTATGTCACCTATACATCCCACAAAATTGCTAATTGGCAATAATCAAGGTACTATGGAAAAAAAAAAAGATGGAGTCTCTTTCCCTAAATCTTGAAGACATGTAGAAGGGAGGGTTGGTTCAAACTGGACATGGCATGGAGGCTTACCTTGTGACTGAAGGCTATTTCAACACTGCTCGCTATTCTACCATTAATGTTGCCAGAGATTATTTGTTTAGACAAATTGTTGCAACTCTTATAAATCCTTGACTGGGAGAGTTTCTCATTTTGATACAGGGCAAATACAACTCTTCCATTGTCTGATGAACCTTCATAAGGCAAAGGGAAAAGCAGGTACAGATAGCAGATATCAGAGAAGCTGGTGCTTTTGAAGAAACCTACACTACGCTGTTTCACACATTCAGAATTTACAGGAGATGTTTGTTTAGATATTTAATTCAAATCCATAGGAGTAGTAGAGATGAGCTGCTTTTCCCATGAACCTCAAGAGACATCTTCAATTTTTGCTGAGGTGGAGTGTGAAAATAATTAATAGCCTTCTCTTAATATCATTTCTGGAGAAAAATACTGATAAGTTAGGAAAATAATATCCTAAATCTCAATATATACATACACTTCAAATGGCAAGGCTTTTAATAGCACTAAATGAGAAACAGTCACACCAGGGACATTTAAAGTTAGTGGGAAGTTAGAGGATAAGAGACTGGCTGGACTTTTGTCTTCAGATCCAACTTTTGGACTGTGTTTCTTTTGCACACTTCTAGCAAATAAGAGTTCATCTAAGTGATTTAAATTATTAGTCTTAATTGTTGCTTAAGCAAGGGAGCAAAAATCACAGATTATATAAAATGGATTTTTTTGCTGATTTTATACTTGAATTAAGATCAAGAGGGACTGATTTGATCTCTCTCTGATCTG